CTATTTTATAATGGTATGTCAGGGAAACCAAGATTCAAAAGACAGCCGTACATCTTAACATTATTTCCCCCCTTTTGCCCATTCCAACCATGTCTCAATACCTGTATCCCAGAACCCTTTTGTTCCAAAGTTGTGCATACATCATTATTTACCTTTGTCTCACTTAGCCCATGCAAACCTGCCTAATTGTTTTCCCATCTGCTTTGTTCTTCCATTTCCCTCCCCCTTCTTGTGTATTGCCCCCTTCCCTAGCACTCAAACTATCCTGTGTCTATTCCTTACCCTGTGCTCCACCTTCACCTCCCTCCCCTTACCTCACCCCCCACATCCCTGTAACCAGCAAAGGTCTCCCCCCCCCTTTAGTATGGGTTCTTTTTCTTAGTCTTTTACAGTAGTGGTCCTATGCAGTATTTCTCATTTTGTGACTGACTAATTTCACTCAGTATAATGTCCTCGAGGTTCATCCATGTTATGTGGTGTCTTGCAGCTTCCTTTTTGTTCTTCAAGGTAGCATAATATTCCATTGTGTGTGTGCACCACAGTTTGTTTATCCATTCTTCAGTTGAAGGGCACTTTGGCTGTCTCCCTCTTTTTGCTATTGTAAATAGTGCTGCTATGAGCAGTGGTGTGCATATATCTATTTGTGTTATGGTTCATATTTCTTGTGGGTAAATACCAAGTAGAGGAATTGCTGGATCATAAGTTATTTCTATTGCCAACCTTCTGAGGAAGCGCCATATTGCTTGCCAGAGAGGTTGGACCATTTTGCACTCCCACCATCAATGCTAGAGAGTCCCAGTCTCTCCACATCCTCACCAGCATTTATTATCCTCTACTTTTTTAATCTTTGCTGTTGTGATCGTGAACATTTCTTCGTATGTTTGTTGGCTGCCTGGATCTCCTCATTAGTGAAGTGTCTGATCATGTCCTGTGTCCATTTTTTTAATTATGTTATTTGTCTTTTTCTTGTAGAGGTGTTGTAGTTTCCTATATATTTTAGAAATGAGTCCCTTGTCTAATATGTCATTGCAAAAGATTTTTTCCTATTCTGTGGGTTCCCTTTTT